TGTGATATACCAATATACCTATATGACTATAAGCGTAAAGCATGTTAATATTAGAACTAATAAACTATAACTGAATATAGAATAAACAGAGTTAAACATCCGTTACAGCGCGTATGCGAACCCAGTTGCAATCTTTCCTGAAGCCTGTTGTATTCCAGTCCTTGATTACTTAAACGTTACTGCAGACAGTTCATGGAGCATGGTGCGCAAACCACGATGCAGGTCCCACACGGCTGAGCAGAGGGAGGTCCTATCCCGTCACATCCCGAGTCCTCGCCTTCTTCACCTGCTGCGACATCTCTCCCATGCTCAGTGAAACCCTGCTCTGTTATATCGCAAAGCACCTGTTAGTTCTACCCTAACAGCCTAGCAGCCTACTGGCCTTAAGATGAGTCTCACAAGAGGCGATGTAGTGCATCCTTAGATAATGCTGAATCGAGTCGGGACACTTGCCTCAGCAAGCGCCACATCTTAATATATATTATAACTATCAGTACTAAGCACAGTAATGCTAAACCTAACACAACTACCACTGGATGCAGTACAGAGTTAAATATCCCTGTCACTGTGGGGGACCATCCAAAAAGAACTTCCCACCAGTGGTGTTCTCCGTCCTTCTTTACTCTCTCTAGGACATGATGTATCTCTTCCGTGTCATGGTGAACGGTGATCAAGGTTTTCTGTCCATTGTCTCTGACACATTTCAGCAATTGGTGCAGGTCATCATGTTGCAAAAGCTTCCTTACCAAAGCGAGGTTCATTGCACTTGGAGCAGGTGACAGATCTTTAATCACCGTGTAATTAGCCTGCAAGAACTGATGTAATGTCGCCAACACTTAATAATTAAAGCCACATCCTACAATACTAGTAAAGTTATAGACAGAGAGATTAGAGTGATTGCTGGTAGCTCTAGTGGCACTATCTGTGAGTATGAAATTATAAAGGTCCTTATACAAACTTCCCAATATATACCAACATTGTCTCAGGTACCTGTTGGAGTGTACCTCCAAAATGACAAACATTTGTTCAATATCAAGGCAGATGTCTCAAGCCTTGAGAGCATTGCTCTCACAAACCAGCCGTATGGAATTGCTTGTTCTCCAGGCCTCAATCTGGCCACCTGTCCATGAAGGGAACCCATTCTGATGCCCACAGTGCATACTGCACTGGCTTAAGCACCATGCACATCAGATTTGTTACATGCGGAAAGAGAAGGCCTGATGCTGTCAGGACTTCTAATGCATTTAAAGTGAGGGATGATTTCAATCCCTGTTTCTCTGCACAATCAGGTGTGTGATGCCTTTCGGATCCAGGGGTACCCTTTCTGGGTCTCTGTTATCATTCTCTACCATCAGGAAGGTCTCTAGTGCTCTTCCTTCATCAGGCTAGATCTAATCTTCCTACAATCTGTCAGTGCATCTCTCTTAACTCCCAAATGCGAATTCACCTCTCTCCTTTCGCTATCCTTTGCAGTCACAGCTGGAAGCTGCGGGCTCCGCACCGCTCCCACTGTGCCCATCTCCCTTTGATCATGCACTGACTGTTGTAGAGGCTTCTGATTGGTTGCATGCACACTCAATCTTGTAAAAGGATGTGTGGGTCGAGTCAATGGGTCTGAACACTGTGGCAGAGAGTGGGTCCGGAGACTATCGTTATTTCTTTCTCCGTCGGGTGCAACCTGAGCAGAGGGCGCCGGCCGGACGCCACCTACACCTTCAGGCGCAGTCAGGGTGGACAGTGCCGGCCGGACACTGTCATCCGAGCACCTGTAAGCTACATCGCTTCCCTTTCTCTCTGCTGTTTTTCCTTCTACCGCCGCCTTAACTTTTGACCAATCCGTACCCGAGCCTTGCCCGCAGTTCCCACCCCCCTGGGTGTTACTGCATTCCACCTCCTGAGAGGAGACAGCAAGTGTCCCATCCCAGCTCACTTCTCTCCCTCCCCCCACAGGTGAAGTTGGATTACACGGAGGCAGCAGTTGTGGATACAGCGGAGGGGTTTCAACGACCTTACTTTCCCGCAGTTGAGCCGTTTTGCAAGATAAAATCGCAGACAGTTTAACGCCGCCTTTTACTTGTTTATGCGGAGCTGAAGCCGAGGGGGGAGTGAAAAGGGATGCCGAAGGTGCGGACGAGATGTTAGCAGTCATAGCTGAGGGCATATTTACGGTGTTCTCTTCCTCAGAGGACCTGCAAGAAAGTACGCTCCCCGCACACGTAAGCATGATCCTGCCAAGGGGCGCTCTCCCATTCCCATGGTTAACGCCACTGTGGGCGAGGGGCTCACTGACGTGCGGGACCCCGACCTTGGGTAGGCAGAGCCGCATTGTCTGGCCCATTTGGTGTTCCGGGGGAGGGGCCCTGGGCCTAAGGCACCCTCCCATCCTCGTTTCCCTGCGGCAATGAGACAAACTTCCGACATGGGCGCGCGGCGTGCCCTGATGTCCCGCAGGCTTGGCAGGTCTGGTCTGGCCCTGCTTCCCCTTTCTGTCTCCCAGGGGCTCGGCACTGGGCTCTGAAGTGACCAAACTGTCCGCACTTAAAACACGGTCCCTTACTTTGATCCTCTCCCATGGCCATCGCCGCTACTAACGCTGCTGCTAATCCCTCATTGGTGAGGGGCGTTGTCCTCTGTTTCTCCAGTACATACCTAATGATATCTCCCGGAGGATTGAGGTCGTCAGGAGCGGCTCGAATAAGATCCTTTTTGTGTGATTTCTGGTTAAGACAATCCATGATTATTGCATTATGGGCAATCTTTGGCAGATCTGAGCCTTCTACTGCCCGAATCAATCGACTGGCAAAATCCGAGAATGACTCAGATGGACCCTGGGCTATCTCTGCCCAGGGAGCAGAAGGTTCAGCTGTCCTGGAGAACCTTCTGAAGGCTGTCAGAGCTGCTTTTCTTTGCCCGCCAACAGCTGTCCCTGGTGAAGGCATCTGAACTGGCCTCAGGGGACCCAGTCATCCCTTCCCCATACCCTAACAGCCGTGTCAGATGAGTTACCTCTCCCAGTTCCCTACCATTTGCTGGGTGTCGTGGGTCACGTGTTGCTGCAGCGACTACGGCCCTGAGCTGTGCCGACCACTCTTCCTTCCATAACATATACTGCGCTGGCTCAAGTATCAAGTCCCTTTCCCCGGATTAGCCGGGAACGTGGCCGTTTGGGAGGGCAGAACGGGTGGCGGGGGCAGAGCCGCGGCCAGCAATCGCTCGGCCCCTTGCCCTCCCCGTGTAGGATCCTCCCCCTGACGAAAGCCGCGCAAAGAGGGGTACAGGAGAGGATACGGGGGGGAGCCGTCGGAGATGATGGCGACTCTTCCTCCTTCTTTTCCGATGTTGATGTTTCTGGCGTGGTCGGTGCCTCCGGCGCCGTCTTGTCTTGGGGCAGATCCTTGAAGGGGTCAGAGTCTCCCGGCCGCGGTGACCGAACCCCCCCCCCCCCCCGCCCGGATCCAAACCCAAGAGATCTCTGGCAAGAGAGGTTCCTTCTGAGGAACCTTCTGAGGTTCTTCCCCATATCCCCTTTTGAGGTTTCTTCTGAGGTCCTTCTGAGGTTTTTCCCCATATCCAAATCATGCTGACTTGATTTCCCAAACTGAACTTGTTTCTGATACTGCTAGCCATCTCATGAATGTGTTCGTGAGATTGGAATGCTGGCACTGCTAATGGGAGTATTTCCTGTGGAGAAGTTGCATGCAGGCATTTCTTCTTTTAAAATTCTCTACTACTTCTGATTATGTTCCTGATAATTTCAAACTGTAGGTAACACTCAACTGTAGATGGTTACCTGCACATTCTATGTCACATCCAGCTCCAGTTGTCTGAAATGCTTTTTTTCTTTTCTCAAGCATAAACTTACCTTGAGTATGAGCTTGAGAACTCTATTTGATAGGAGAAGATTAAGGATGCAGAAGTATCAAAAGCAAGAAAAGAGCTGAAGATACCATCATTTTGTGTGTAGAAGTAGGCAGGTGTAGATTAGTAAGGATGTACAAAGGGTATTAGGATGTGAGATATTTGGAATAGTAATTGTTGGGAGTTGGGAGCATTGAGCTCTTGATTACAGATAAACAAAGACACACTCTGGGGCTATGGAATAGCTATTGTAGGTGACACTGAGATGTCTCCTATTAAAAATAGGTACAGCGTTGAGGAAACTGTCAGGGTGGAATACAGTGAATGTGCAAATAATCTGTTCCTTGATGGTTCCCTGGGCAACATGACTACAGCCTTAGGTGTTAGCAGCACCAGGGGAGCTGAATGCAGACTGGAGGAGAAGCAGCACTGAGGGTGGAGTGGACTAGAAATAATGTCACGAGGCTCCATGATGACAGAGATGGGAACTCAATGGTCCAGTGGAACTGATAAACTGCATAGCTATTTGAGCCACTAATTTTTCCTTCTTCTTGGATTTTTTTTTTTTTTTTTGGTTGAAAACACATCCCTGGGTGAGCTTTCCTCATTATTCACTGTAATACACCAAAGCACACTTCCATCCCACACCTCTGCAGACAGTGCATATATCACTGGCAATCCAAATTGCCATTCTGTTGCTTCAGTAAACTGCACTATTCACTAATCTAGCCATGCGAGCCTATCTGATTGCAACTAGATGAGTTGGGCATTAATAGTTCATATACTGAATGCAAACCAGACTTACAGTGCTAAACTGGGCATCTTTCAGGATGTAATCCCAGCTGCTCACAGCCCAACAGGTATCAGGACAAGCTGGAATGCAAGGGGGTTTATCTTCCACCAAGCCTTTTGACCCTTTAATGCAACATGAAGGAAATGTGTTCTGGTGTGATGTGCTGTGGAAGGCAGAACATACAACCACTAACAGGTAAGCCAATGCTTACCATACTCTTTTTGTCTAGCCTACAGACCAAATCTTTCTGGCAGGCAGATGTCATTGTTTCAAAGCCCTTCACTAAAGTATTTTACGAGGTCATACAGCAACCTGCAAAAGGGGTAAAATAAGGAAAAGTAAGTCCTGCTTGTATATAACAAGTAGCAATTTATAATTGTGCAGTAAAATTAGTAAATGAAATACAAATAGAAAAAAAAGTCATGTATATCCCCAATAACGTAGTATATTCTTCTGTCCTACGCTCTGTGATGGTTTCTGGATGGTTGCTTCATGTAGCATCAAAGACTTAAAAATATATGCTTAGTTTTTGAAGTTAGGCAAACAGTGTCAAACTGGACCATGAAAGAACAATATTATTCCTTGTATCTTTCAAGCGTCAGCAGACTTTCCAAGCAGATAATTCCTACCACCTTACTTTTATGTTCAAATAGCAGTCATAGTAACTAATTGGTGAGAATACTGGATTGACCTCTGCTTGCACGTTTCCATTGTCACACTGAGCTTAGCTTTTCTTTTGAATCACAATTAAGATGTATATGAAATACTGCTACAAGATACTGATTTTGCTCTCAGTAACTCTTGCTATGTATTTAAGATGGCAAACAACAGGTGATGCACTACAGTAGTTGTAACATATACATTTTGTCTATGTGACTAGAAAAAAGAATACCCTGCATAATTGACAGCAGATTTTATGACTCCAGTCTATTCCTGCTCTCAGCAGTATATACACTCCTACAGCCTGTGTAGGCAGGGATTACTACGTGATGATACCTGTAGTAAAACATCACTGTATTGTATACAGTTAGAGCTAAACAGCACACCACATCTTGTTCTCCACCAGGCTGTTTTGGTTTTCTTTAATACATCATTTTTGAATGAAGCTTTGCTCCCGTCTTAAGCAGCTTCTTCAGCAGAGCAGTCAATGCCTGCATAGGTGAACTTCTCATATAGGGTGGTGTTCACATAAGTCTGGAAAGGAAGTAAACAGAAAGAGTGTGACACAAAACAAACTCACTACTCAGTAATCCTAAGTGATACTGAAATTACTGATGGCCTAATTGTTGTCTAGGGATTTGTTCTTACCTTTCTTTCTTCCAGCATCCTGTTCAGTGACACCAGTATCTGAGCAAATGATGGTCTTTCGTAAGGTTTCTCCCTCCAGCACTGTCTCATTAGGTCATACCTTTAAAATCGAACACCAACACATGCTGGTTTAGACACATGGGTGAATGCTATGAGTTCATGTTTTTTGGAAAACTGTACACATTCCATTACAAAGAAGCCCACTTCTGCACTCAAAAAAAAAAAAAAAAAAAAAAAAACTTTATGTTTTTTGAACAGTTCTGCTATTAGTTTATTTCAGACGTTCTCCCATATACCAGATGTGTTACTCTTCTTGTTTTGTTTGCTCAGGGAACTTACACTTCATCGTCACAGTTGAGAGGCTTTTCCAGTCTGTACCCTTGAGGCAGTTTTTCATAGAGTTCTGCACAGGTCATTCCACAGTACGGTGTTCCACCTGAAGCAGAGTCAAAAATTGTCCTGAGTGGCATCTTTTTTATAAAAGAAAACATTATTTCGTAACAGAAATGAAAAGCAATGTCTATCACAGATCACAGAATCACAGAATCACCCGGGTTGGAAGGGACCTCAAGGATCATGTAGTTCCAACCCCCCTGCCTAGCAGGGCCACCAAACACACACATTCAGATCAGGTTGCCCAGGACCCCGTCCAACCTGGCCTTAAACACATCCAAGGACGGGGCATCCACAACCTCCCTGGGCAGCCCGTTCCAGGGCCTAACCACTCTCCTTGTATAGAACTTCCCCCTAACATCCAACCTAAATCTTCCCTCCTTCAACTTCGATCCATTTCCCCTAGTCCTGCTGTTGTCAGCCCTTTTGAAGAGTTTACTCCCCTCGTGGGTGTAGGTTCCCTTCAGGTATTGATAGGCTGCAATGAGGTCACCCTGCAGCCTTCTCTTCTCCAGGCTGAACAAGCCCAACTCCCTCAGCCTGTCCTCATAGGGGAGGTGCTCCAGCCCCCTGATCATCTTAGTCGCCCTCCTCTGGACCCTTTCCAAAATCTCAATGTCTTTCTTGTACTGAGGGCTCCACACCTGGACACAGTACTCCAGATGGGGCCTCACAAGAGCCGAGTAGAGAGGGACAATCACCTCCCTGTCCCTGCTGACCACCCCTCTCCTGATGGAGCCCAGGATCCCATTTGCCTTTCGAGCTGCCAGAGCGCACTGCTGGCTCATGTTCAGTCTCTCGTCCATCAGGACCCCCAGGTCCTTCTCTGCCAAGCTGCTCTCAAGGACCACTCCTCCCAGCCTGTACGGGTGCCTGGGGTTCTTCCGGCCCAAATGCAAAACCTTGCACTTTGCCGTGTTGAACCTCATTAGGTTCACCCGAGCCCAGCCCTCCAGCCTGTCGAGGTCCCTCTGAATGGCATCCCTTCCTTCCACCGTATCAACTGCACCACTCAGCTTGGTGTCGTCAGCAAACTTGCTGAGGGTGCACTCAATTCCCTCATCGATGTCATTAATAAAGATGTTAAAGAGCACCGGTCCCAAGACAGACCCTTGGGGGACACCACTTGTTACCGGCCTCCACCTGGACATAGAGCCATTGACCACCACCCTCTGTCTGCGGCCTTTCAACCAGTTTCTTATCCATCGGGTCGTCCACCCATCAAATCCACTTCCCTCCAATTTGGAGATGAGGATGTGGTGGGGGACTCTAACTCTCATCCATATCTAAAACAAACCCATTAATTCACTTAGTAAAGAAATCTGGTAATAAATTAGACCAGAATTGTTGTTAGCCCAGTGTGCAATGTGCACCTTTGTCAGTTTGTACCTCTTGGCCTGCGGACCACATGGCACATGCAGACAAATGAAAAAGTCTGCGTCAGACAGTCAGAGGCTGTGTCACTCACAGCATGAATAGAGACATGAAAAAAACTCTAAATTTGGCTAATAATCAAAAATTTTCTTCAGCAGTGCTGGAATAGGAGTTGTGGCAAAAAACAAGCAAAAAAAAAGAATCTGAATTTAAAACTCAGGCTGAGCAAAAGGTGCTCATCAGCCTTACAGCATTTGGAATTAGGACTACAGATATGTGATGTGCTAAATTTTGTGTTTAGGTTAGGCCTCTGTTTTGCAGTGCAATGATCATTTTGACTGTACCCAGGCTGAAAATGTGACAGTTGTAGTTCCAAGCACACTGAAGCTATCTGTGATTCTATTAAATGAAACAGAATAAAAATTAAATATGCCGCAGAGCAAGAAGCTTTAAGCAGGCTGAACGGATGGAGTGGGCTCGTCCCATGTGGGTTTATGTGTGCAGAACAAAATTTGCATGCTTACCTAAGCTAACGATTTCCCATAATAGGACACCATATGACCATCTGCAACAAAGAAATACTATTGAGTGCCACCAGAATACAAGATGTCACATATTAAATTGGTAGATGGTTTTGCTAAGATGCAGATAACATAAGGAGGTGTGATTCGTTCTTTTTTTTTTTTTTTCTTACAAATTTTTCTAAAACAACGGAGTTTGTGGAATCAGAATGCATAGAATCAGTGAAGTTAATTCCCTGTAAGTCCACCAGCCGGAGTCCTTTTATAGACTGAAAAGCTCTCAGCATATAATACTGATAGAAATTGCTCTGCTGTGTATCTGTTCTGGTTGCCTGACTAAAACTCTGAATCTCTGGAGGAATTAGCAGCTTTTAATTTCAAGTGGGAAATGTACCTCCATTAGTAACCCAAATCTAATCAGTTTCCTGCAAGATTTACTTTTTTCTTGCCATTTGCTTGCTTATGCTGGTACAGTATGAATTCTTTGATTAGATGTCACTATCCTCACTATCAGACTTTCTTTGATATGAAAACATCTTTAATTAAAAGGGACCCCTTAAAACATACTTACACATCACTGTTAGTGGTGTAAACACTGTAATTCAATGACTCAATTGCCATCCATCTCACTGGAAGTCGTCCCTGGGAATTATTTCATGGCGGTTAGTTTTTGGGTGGTTGAAACAATAATACAGAATCACAGAGTTGTAGCATAGTTTGGATTGGAAGAGACTTTCAGAGATCACCTAGTTTACCCCACCCTGCTTATGTTTATTAGGCATCATCTTCTTCCACATCATTCAAAGCACTAGCTCTGGACAGCTATTTTGTCAGCTCACAGATCCCAGTGTGCTGTTTTTTACCACCTTGTTAACTCTGGCCTTGTTAAGTAGAATTAGACTAATTTGCCCCAGCCAGATAAATTCTGGAAAAACAAAAATTATTGTATTCAGATATCTACACATCCATACCTTGAAAGTAGATTCTCTGTATGTCTGTAGTGCAATTGGACTAAACCTCATGATTGTCTACAAAATTGGTCATTTTGCTGTAATCCACATTCACAGAAATAGTTTTCAACTATATTGAATGTAACAAAAACCTGGTATAGACTTGATTTACAAGTAATGTATGTACATTAAAAGTTAATATAAATATGCATATCAGTGTATATATATATATATGTATAAAACAAATCAGATATCTAGCAATTATGAGTTTGCATTTTTCTTGATGTGAAACTAGAAAATAAGAAACAAGAAAACAAAAAATGGAAACAACAGGTTATACTCAGACTTGATCCTTACCATGGTTTTCTTGACATAGACCTCTTGACCCCTGGATAAGCCAAAGTCAGCTATTTTTGCAACATAATTTTCTCCAACCAGGATGTTTCTTGCTGCCAAATCTCGATGGATAAACTAAAATGTAGAAATCAGAAGTCACCGCAGTATCTGTGAGCTTTACATTTGTCATTTCAATGCTATGCTGAAAATTTATAATAAACATTTGGAGTAAAAATGAAAACTAAACCAAATAGCTTCATGTGGCACTACCAGAACATTTTACACTTTAGCTGAAGATTAAAGCAGTTAGGTTCCAAGTCATTTCTGAGTTTTAATGCTTCTTTCACAATTCCTAGTGCCAAAGTATTTCACAGGGCTGAATGAGCACAACAAAATAATAGTCATCCAGCGGGTGCTATAGGAGCTAAAACTAAAACCTCATTTTAATGAAATTTTGATTTCATTAAGATGAGTGGTTCCTGAAAAATGAGTGCTGTGCTTTCAGTTGGTAGAACATTTAGGACTGACCTGTTTCTGGCTCAGGTAGTCCATCCCCCTTGCAACATCAGCTGCAAAATGAAGAAGCTGCTGAGAGGAAAGTGTAGATGCAGTGCTGTTGGCAATAGCAAATGCTGGGTCAGTCTCTAGCACCCTGCTTTTACGAAGGAAGTCCAGCAGATTCCCATGAGGGGCATATTCAATAGCAAGATAAAGATATCCTAGTGAAAATTCAGATAGTTAGCGTTATCACACAGTAAAAGTTGGACAGCAATAATATTTGGACACTTACATTACTGTATATTAAAAGGAAATAAATCAGATTGGAGGGGAAATATCAAACAGTGTAGCTCCTAGGTGCCATAGAGAACTCAAAACAATTGCTGACTAATCTCTGACGGATTACTGTGGGCATGTAGCTCCAAAACCAAGTTTATTTGACTTTTGAACAGAAATGTTGATCAGAAAGGCCTGCTCATGATTTTTTTTTTTTTTTAATGGACTGTTTGAGTTGTAGTGTGCTGGATTGTTTTTTTTTAACTGATTTTTAAATCAATTAAATCGGTGTATTCAGGAGTCTCTTACCCCGATGTTCACATGCTCCTAGAAGATTTATGATGTTGGGATGATGACCAAGTTTACAAAGCACTTCGAGTTCTCCAGCAAAGTCTCTGTGGTCATCTTTTGAAGCATACTCTGAAAATCAAATCAGCATGCATTTATGTTTTCCTTTGAACTGAACTTATGACTATTATTAATTATGAGGACCCTGGGCTGCATGAGGCACTACTGCTTCATCTCTAACAGAAAGAGGAAAATTCTGTGATACATTAATATTTATTTACAAGAATACAAGTTTTCAAAGGCAAAAATAAAAGGAGGGAACCTAATGTGTGTAGCAACCATCTACCAAGAATGAAAGCATCTTAACATATTACATTTAGTTTCCCTCATTTGAGAATTTAGAGGTCAGTTGCCTATGAATCTTTCCTTTTGTGCTCTTGTTCCTACCTGCATGCAGACCTTGGCTCTTTTTATAGTGGTCACCATATTTAAGAATGTCTTCCAGTTTGCCTAGATAGTGATCTAGTGAATTGTAAGAAAATACATACATTCTTGCAGTATTCTATGTATTGTAGTTCTCTCCAGAACACTGCAGTAATGACTGGTGAATACAAAGAAATTAGTCTCACAGTGTATTATGTATAGATACACAGATGTGGTCATCTGTGTGTGAATAAAGGAAGCAAGACAACCACATGCTGTGACCAAAGGCTAACTCTGTGCTCCTGCGTAGCCAATGCGTGTTTTATTGGTTCCTCCTTTGAATATAAACACACAGATGAAGTTTATACTAACCAATGAATTGCAGAATACATAACAGTTAATGATATTAACATTTAAAGAGGAACGTAGGCCAACTTGCCAGAGCAGAAATGGAGTTTTTGGCAGAAACAGTTCCTGGTCTACTAACAGCCATTACGTCATTAGTAATTTTGAATATTTATTTTAGTGTGAAGAGAAGGCTACTAAGCACTTCTGAAGAGAGAGAAACCTCTGAAGCAAACAACCAAGAGAAGTCTGTAGTCTCAGAGTCTTTGATCTTTACTACCTTTCATCCTTTTAATTGCAGCATCCATGCGTAAGCCATCCTTCTTAATTCGTGCTTTCAAGACTTGCCCAAAGTTACCTTCCCCAATCACATCTTGAAATTTGATGTCATTCCACTCGAGAACTGGGTAAATAGTGGGATCTGGGCTGTTTTTGGCTTTCCTGCTCAGAGTGAGAGTACCTGAGTTAAATTGTACAGCTGGCTCTTCCCTCTGTAACAGAATAAAGCAAACGACAATGGTTTCTTCTTTATGGAGAAATCCCCGAATGCATGCGTGCTCACTCATGTACTCACACACACAGCCTGATTCATCTCCTGCCAACACATAAATGAGTGCAGTGGAAAACTACTGCATCTAGAACTTGTACCTGGATCCGTGAAAGTAGTCGGGATCCTACTTACATGTAATAAATATTATAGCTTGGCCCATTGAACAGTTTTATAATCAATGGAGATGAAGGAGATGAACAAAAATAATTTGGTTATACTGACCTTAGAACTAGTTCTAAGCCTCAGTAGGATTTATCTCTACCAAATTTGACTAAATTCTGTGGTAATCAAGCTCAGCAGTAAGACTGAAGAAAGAGGATGCAGAGAAAGGAAAAAGAGAGGAAATGAACCACCTCCATACTTGAGACATTTCTACTTCAGCCACTTGTGCCCACAAAACACTTCTGGAGAATTTTCAAGACGAGCAATTGCATGAGACCTGGAGACACAGGTCATCTTTTTGAATATGCTCCCTTATTTTATTCCCTGTTTTTAGAAAATAACTGCATAGGTCTTTTTGAAGGAATTCTTTAGCCCAGCTTCACTCTCCTTCATGGATTCCCCTCTAAAGGGAGAGATGTTGCTGGAAAGCAGAGTGATGCAGAGAGTACAGAGGGGCAAGCATACAGAGAGTGAGAGAGCATAAACTCCAGCATTTTCCTCAGAACTGCCAGAACTGTGATGTTACCATTGTCCAATCCCTGTGCTGCCTCAGCTCAAAAAACCTTGCTAAAATCCAGGGTTAAAGATTTTGCAGTTTCATAACAGGACAAGCTCCTCCATTCTGTCTGGCTTGCTGTTTGTGATACATGGCTACAAGGAGACAGAAATGAAAAGGATAAACTGTGTCTATCTTTTTTCAAGTCAGGTGTAATTAAGCTTGCTTTAGCTCTCTGTCACTAAGAAGATTGTATTTGAAAATGCTAAAGAAAAGTAAGCAAAAAAAAAACCCCAACAACCCAACAAAAAACAAGGAAAAAGATGATGCCAAAATAAGTAGCCACACTGACTCAGGAAAACAAGAAACCCACCACTACATTTTGGAAAGCCTGAGCCATTCTGCGCTGGAAGTTGGCTCGCTTCAACTGCAGCATGATGAGAAAGGCCAGGAGAATTGTTACACAGGTCATCCCTGCAGAGCCAAGGATAGCAATGAGCAGCATTTTACCTCCTTTTGATTCATATGGAGCTGCAGAGGAAGCACATAAAGAGTTTATCATTTCCAGCTAATCCTGAAACAGCCATGAGCAACAACATATACGCAAATACTCCCATCTTATAAACAGTATAAAGATGGAGTTACAACCAATTTGTTTAACAACATCACAGACATTGTATTGTCCAATTTTCAGGTGTACAAGCACCTGCAGGTTGTGCTGAGTGCAGGCAGAGTGGTGCGGAGGTCACATTCAGTGATCTAATGTAGCTTCATTAATTTATGAGCTGTGGGGCACTCTCTAGTGACTACACAGAAATGTTTTATGTTGTCACCTCACCAATACCACAGTGGACTGAGAAGAAAATGCCAGCGTTGCTGTGTTGTGTGTCCAAATTAAGATAAAAAGGAAACTGATACAGTATGACTTTGCTTTAGCTAACGGGCCCTGTTTTGTGCATGTCCAGCATGCTGGAATTACCAACCTTTCATTTCTGGAAGAGTCTTCAATTCAAAGGATGTGTTCGGGTTGCTCAAGCCGATGTTGTTTTGAGCATTAATCTGAACCTGGTACACAGTGTTTGGCTCCAGGCCTTTGAGATGGTACTGAGTAATGGTGGAGTTCTTAATGATAATGTCGATGTGATTGTACTCAGCCTTGCCGTAAATTTTGTAGCTGATGATGATGGAGGAGATGGAATGGCCCTCAGCAGTTGTCCAAGAAATGACTGAGGATGTGTCTGTGGTGTTAGAAAACTTGATGTTGTATGGTGCAGGAGGTATTCCTGAGAACAAACACAAACACACAGAAATGTTGGAGTGAATTTCTACCTCTTTCACCTTTTCTCACTAGGACAAACACTTCGCTCAGTGCTTTTGTTGTGCTAAACAGAAGATAAACTTTGTTGACAAGCTATAACAACTGAAGGCAACTCTTTTATAAACTTCATGCAGTCACCCATGTTGCAGTACTCCGTACTTCCAGCAGAGGATTTCATACGACTGTAGAGTATTTAAGTGCATTGTATCTTCTTTTCCTTCCTTAAATGTTGACTCTTTCCTCATTGACACAGCTCAATTACGATGCCAGAGTGTTTTTTTGTTCGTTTGTTTGTTTGAATTAAAAAGGAGCTTGGACTATGGAACTCAATATGCTCTTCATTAAAAGAGGAAAGAAATGCTGTACATGCTAAAAGTATGAACAAGAATGTACAAGAATGAAACACACTGATATTAAGAAGATGTGGATTCCTTAGTTTTTCATTTCTTTTCCCTTTCTCCTTCTTCTTTTCTGTATTCCTTTTTGTATTCCTTCTTCCTTTTTGTACTACTTCTCTGAAAGTATCTGAGAATACTGATATTCAGATAGATATCTGAATCTATCACCTCCCGTGGAGGTGTGTAAGGAATGTTTGGATCTTGTGTTGAGGGATATGGTTTAGTGAGAACTGTTGGTGATAGGTGGATGGTTGGAGTGGATGATCTTGTAGGTCTTTTCCAACCTTGGTGTTTCTGTGATTTTTTGGAAGAGAGAGGGTAAATTTTCATCAGTTCCTGGCAATTTTCAAGGTAAGAATTTCTTTGGACACTGAACTGTCTTCATAATGATAGTAAAAACAACCACAACAAGTGGTCATTCAGCAATGAGAGTTACCAGAACAAAGGATATCATTTAATGTTGTCAATAAGAAGCAGTCGTTCTGATTGCTGGGGGAATGTGGAAGAATTGACCAGAAGGAAGTGAATCAGCTACTTACTGTCACTGAAAGTCCATGCGTACAGATAGTTGCTCCATTCTCCTTGGGACCTGGTGTTTACCCGTACCCTGCACATGTATTGCTGTCTGGGCTCAAGATCTTTAATGATCAGAGTGGACGTGTTTCCTGGCACTTGGGTGATAACACTGCTCTCATCACCATTGTCATTCACACTCTTCCTTTCCACTTCAACACGGATGTCATCATCTGTCCTCAGAGTTAAGGGATGCCAGGACAAATTCAATGATGTCATACTTTTTGGAAGGAGCGTGAGACCTTCAGGTGGTGGAAGACCTTGAAGAAGAGAAAGGAGAGACAACATTTCATGTCTGGTGTATGCACACTAAAATATGGGTACCATTAATTCCTTTCACTTGCCTTAGCTTAGAGTGACAAAAGGCAATACTCAATTTTTAACCTAAGCTGATATTAAGGGAAAGGAGCGATCCAGTAGTATTAGGAGGAAGGGCAGGCACACAATACAAGAGAATTCTATCTCCAACTCTGCTGCTCGTAGTATACAAATGTTCCTTTCTCAGATCCCCCGATATCTAAATAAGGGAGAATAACTCTGTCTGATACACAAGGTGCTTTTCTTCACCTGTGATTTTTTTATTTTATATTTTTTGCTTTGCTGATGTTATTTCAAAAAGTTTTACATATTTTTCACATCTAGATGCTGCTTTTCCTCAAAGGAAAGTGCAAATCAGGGAGCAGACCACAGAGATAACCACCTGAAATAGGCCTCTTCTGAAAAAAGACGATGACTTACCCAGTGCAGCTGTTGTGAAGCTTGCCTGTGGTCCAGGATGGCCCTCCCCACCCTCCCCTTGCCGACTCAGCTGAACACAGAACTGATATTCTGTCTTTGGTTCCAGATTGTCCAGTCTTTTGGTTGAGCCCTTAACTGAGAGGCAAAAAGAGAAAGGAAGAGTGAAGCTGAAAAACGTTGAAGAAGAAAATATCCCTGAATAACTAAACACGGATAGCAAGATATTCAGGCTCCTCTTTCATTCCTGACGAACTAGCATAGCAGTTTACTTGCTGAAGTTCCTGTAACGCTTCCTGTAATATTTTAGACCTTGCCTAAAATATTAAAGTGTCCATGTCACTCACAAGCGGGCTTCATCTTACCCATACAATTCCTGATCAATATTTAGGTAAGATGTCTGTCTCACTGGTGGGCACAGTAGACATTAGGAAAGACAGCAGAGGCTGAGGACACCTCCATATGCCTCACTCCTTTTGAAAACCTGCTATTTGCACAGATTTCAGGAGCTGAGTCCAGCAATGTTCACTGTCTTAGGGCAGGAGAGGGGAATATTTTGGTTGCTGAAAACTCACTGAACATGCACTTTCAATCACTCTTGGTGTATCACACTCACATTAGCACTGTACAGTACTGTTACATAGAGTCACATGGCCCGTGACAAAAGATTTAACCTATATGGGTTGTAGAATCTTTTGAATCTATGTTAAGAGCAGACGTAAGTCATGTTTCAGTACGTAGCTGATGTTTGTGGTTGAAGGAATTAGAGACCCTTACCTTCCACCGACATCCAGGACTGATAACGCTTTGCTGGTTTGTATAGGAGCTTTGTTGACACCACAGGTCCATCTCCAGTGTGTAGCTCAGCATTGATATCAATAATGAGGAAATTATGTCCACTGTTTGTCAGCCTTGGGGCATATTGTGGCACAGGAGGAACTGAGCAAGAATGCAAATATTAAACCAGACTTTCAATTCCTGCATTAAACTCTGGTATTTTCCTAGTCCTACAGGAAAATGGGAAATGCTCATCCAAATTCTAAGTAGACATGAGTTTAGACACTAAACCTGATAGTTTAGGTCTTTAAAAAAAAAACAAAACAACTTGGGTGTTCTTTTAACCCTAATGATCATGTTTTATTTTCCCTGTGCACTTAATTAGGATGCTGTGTTTGCCAGGGTTCTGTCTATATTCTGACTGTAGACATTAATTCAGGTGCTTTCCTACAGTGCAAGAATGGAACTCTCTGCCATGTTAGAGTATAAAGCTTGCTTGAAAGACAGAAAGGCAAAGTGAAGATTTTTGCTCTTACCTTTAACTGTAACCTGAAATGGTTTCTCTGCCATTCCCGCTACTGTCTGCACACTGCAGACCCAGGTTCCTGTGTCCCGGGGCAGGACTCGACTGATTGTAAACATAGCTTCAGAGCGATTACTGGTGACAATGAGGGAAGGCTGAAATGACAGAAGACATGGGCCTGAAAAATGTGGGCATTAAGGAATGTTCCCATTCCACCTTTCTCAGAGTTTAGGAACTCTGACTAGGGTTTAGTGATGACAACTGTGAGGCCCTATAGAGATCATCTCCATAGTTTCATATGTGCTTCATACAGTGAGTTCTGAAAGCTCACATGGTGACTGTGCAGTTTGATCATGTGCCTCATTTTCTTCTCATTAAATCAAAGGCATTATTGTTCCTTGCCTGCATCCTCAATACACGGTGTGGAGTCAATAATTGAAAAGTTATAAATAGTGATTCTAAAGCATAATTAGAAAATTGAAAAGTAAACAATCAAGTTAATATTTCAGAGACAGTGATTAATTACTACACTATTTAGTAACAAATTTTTCATTTTTACTGGTGAACCACAGTTGAAAAGCATAATTGAAATTAATTTACTATTACTGTTTCAAAGTACATTTTACTTTTTTAGCAAAAATTAACATCTCCTTCACATTTTCAAGAATTTCATTATGCTCTTATTTTTTGAGCAGTTCGTAGCCTATGTGGTATCCATTCATCTGTATCACTTCTTTTTGCTACTTTTATTTGGTTGCTTTGTTGTTTTTGTTGCTAGCCCACATGGATTACAGCAATGTTTTAAATATTTTGAAACAGGAACATGGCAAATAAAGGACACTAAGCAATAATCAATGATCACATCTCAGAATGCTGACATTTCTCAACATGTTTGAAAAGCATAGCGTGCATTAATTACAGATTAAGTCAGCACAAATACCAGACATAATTGGAAGCAGTTAATCAAGAGCTTACCCTTAGGACAGTTCCATCTTGCTTCAAAAGTTTAAATTCTTCAGATTTAGGAAGTGGCATTCCAGTAGCTATGCAAGAGGGCTTAAATTCTACACCAGAGTTGAGTTCCACAGGGTGTAGTAAGTTTTCTATCTGAGGTGAAAGGTCTGCGGAACCTACAGAAGATATACAATATTTTAATGCCATCCTTCAATCAGAAGCAGCAAACGTATTTAGGCATATAATGCACATATACTCTGGGCAACATAGGTATCTGGTTCTTCCTTCACTTACGCTAGGACAAAGACAACCAAATTTAAAGCTGTTATATCAGAGTAAATATGCAAGAAGAAACAACCTTTGTATTCATTTCTTTCCTCTCCTTTCTCCTCTATTTGTTGCTCTTTCTGATATTCGAAGAACAGCACACACTAGTTGTAATAAAATCAAGGACACATTTTGTAACAAATGTTCAGTAACTCCATTATCTTTTCGTAAGAGCAGCTGGATCACAACTGTGTGGTTTAGCTGGTTAGATCACGGGTCTTTTTTCTCTGCTCGTTTTTGTTCTTGAAGGCTTTTAGATGGCAGATTTGCTGCTTTATTTATCACGAATAAATAGTAGTTGCTGAATGCTTTTTATAAAATACTGTATGCCAACCTTGCCTGAATCCAAAGAGATTCTGAAGTACACACAGCTTTGTAACTCTGTGTAAGAGAGACAAGGTTGCTTTAAATACCAAAGTTGTCGTGGTGTCTCATTGATTACAGACCATGACTCAGGCGGTATAGAAGTGCATGTAGCTGAAGAAGAGGTATATAATAGTAAAGTAGCATGAACCTATTTGAAAATCATACTTGTAGGATGTGCAAGTCCTTTCACTAACTGATATTAGGGTCAGAACCAATGTCCATAGACTAAAGATTGCAAATCTACCTCTAAAGAAAGCAAGTCACAGAATCACAAGGTGGGTCCAACTTGTGCTCAAACAGGGAAGCCTAGATGAGGGTGTGCAGAACCCTGCTGTTCAGGTGTGCAGCTGTCTTTTGGAGGTTTTCAGTGAGAAGACTCAACAACCTTTCTGGGCAGCCTATGCCAGTGCTTCATCATCCACACAGAAAAGAAGTACTTTCTAATGTTCAGAGGAAATCTTCTGTGTTTCAGTTTGTGCCCATTGCCTCCTACCTTGTCAGTGGGCAAAGCTGGAAAGAGCCTGGAATCATTTATAGTGATACTGATAGTGACCATTAGTGATAGGATGAGGGGGAATGCTTTTAAACTAAAGGAACAAAGATTTAGATTAGACATCAGGGGGAAGTTTTTTACTGAGAGTGGTGAGGTGCTGGAACAGATTGCTCAGAGAGGGATGCCCCATCCCTGGAGGTGATCAAGCCCAGGTTGGATGGGATATCCATCCAATCTGATCTAGTGCTTGAGCTAGGGGCTGGCAACACTGGCTGTGGCAGAGCATTTGGAACTTTGAGGTCACTTCCAACCCAAGCCAATCTATGATTCTATAATTTCCCTTGGACACTTCCCTCAGATACTTATATACATTGATGAGGTTGCCTTTTTCTCTCCGGGATGAACTGTCCCAGCTCTCAGCCTTTTCTCATAGAGGAAGTGCTGCAGTCCAGATTTGTGGACATCTGTGGCACTCTGCAGTACGTCCAGGTCTCTCTTGTACTGGGGACACCCAAATTGGAGCCATCATTCCAGGTGTTGCCTCACCACTGCTAAGCAGACAGGAAGGATCACCTACTCCTACCTACTGTCAGTACTGTGCCTGATGCAAACAACAGATAAATCTGATGGAGTCTGATGCCACTGTAGCATCCCAGCCTACAAAATGCAGCCTATGTGGCAGAGACTTAAAGCATTGCAATAAAGGTATATAGATACCTTTATTGGTCTGGGTCCTTGGGATGCAATTGACAGTCTAAGAATCCCAGTCTGGAGTGGAAATGCTATACCAGCATGAAGATCTGTTTCAATTACACTGGGGAAAAGTCATTTACTACCGTGTTACCTTGCTTTACCTTCTTTTTCACATTGCAGACCGTGCCATCCGTAGGAGCAGATACAGCCCTTATATCTGTCACATGTCCCTCGATTGTGACAATTACATTTGAGTTTGCAGTCTGACCCATAAAAACCAGGTTTGCATTCTGCAAGAACATACATTTCCAGTTAGTGTAATAGTACAAGCAAATGTCTTTCTTTCGTTTTCAATTTCATCAGTTCTCCAGTAGGATTTCGTTCCCTCAGTTGGGCTCAGTTTAAAACTATGCATAGCAGCACTCAGTCACCCTCAGATCATCCAGAGAACAACTAACTTGGCAGTCGAGAGCACTTTTGTATCTGTGCCTGTCATTTGTAGACTAGATAAGAATGCTGAAGCTTCTTCAACATCCATGTTGTTTCACTTGCACTGCAATGGTGTTCAAAGAGTTCATCAGAATCACAGCACCATTGAACAAAACAGTACATACATGTAGTATGTAGTACTATTAAGATGTGCTTCATGACTCAAAGAGATTGCAGTCTAATTGAAAGGGTTGAGACTAATTATACTTAGTATTGTTTAGCAGTGGATACGTGATTGGCAGTGAATTGCTCAGTGTGACTTGTAGACATCCAGCAAGGCTCTAGCTGTTGCTGGATTTTCAACATCTCAGTGTTTAATTACTTTACAGAATAATTTGAATAGTTTGAAATTTTACTGTATCTCTCCCGAGGACTTGAAAAACTCTTCTGAGGTAGATAAATATTATTATCCCTGTAATAGAGAATGGAAAAATTCCTATCTTTTATTGTCCTCTGTTAGACCCCTCCCGTATTTCGTAGGTGCAGCACAGGAATGACTTTTCACTGTTATCCCTATTTTTGACTATACCTTTATCACATTCCAGTCCCATCCATCCTGTGGCACATGAACAACCATATGGATCTGGCAGGCAGAACATATAGTTTTTGCAGCCATAGTTTTCTTTACAGCTCTCTTCACATGTTTTGCCAAATGTATTGGCTCCACAAGCTATTAGAGAAGGAAAAGAAAAGAGAAACCCAAGAGTAATTAATTTGTAGAAGAGTGGATTTTTCCAATTATACAGGTTTAGACAACAGAAACCTTGAATTAAAATGAGAAATAGCATTTTCACCATTCAGGTACTAGATGTATTAAACTCCATAATATCTTAAGCTGCTAATGCTAAGTTCAAGCAGCTAAAGCAAAGAGCTTTCTGCCATGTGAGAATCTATCAGCAAAGTATTCATTACTTTAGGTATTTGAGTGTAGAGCTGCAGTGATAAATCCTCTTTACAAGCCTTTCTAATACCTAATGGATGAACAGTGCCATGAAAACAAAATCTTAGAGATCAGTGCATATGAAGCTGCTCAAGGTTTTGTTTCTCCACTATGATCTCTACTACAGTAGAGTAGTTCAGATGTCAGCTATTCCTTAGCTTACCTCTAATACTTGCAGTGCAGCACTATGATCAGAATTTTAAGGTATGTATTTAGCACTGCACTCACAAATTGTCTGGAGAGATCAGTGTGCAATGGGCTCCTTCATTTCTCCAGAATACAAACTAATTGTCACCAACATGGATGTGCACTAACACATGTATGTTTCTGGTATGTCTTGCAGAGACAAATAATGTGAGCCGATGGCAATTTGTTTAGAAGCAGACTGGGAATCTCTTGTAAGGGAACTTCAGTTCCCTGTGCCAGTGTATGTGCAGTAACTTGTAATCTATCACACATCTGACAGTCCACTGGAGGAACTGGAAACATTTATCTTTCCTGACAATATCGTAGTGTGAGGAAAGAGAGAGAAGGTAAGCTATAAGAATAGCTACACTAATTAAATCCTACCCAACACTGTCCGGTGTCCAGCACTGGCTCTAAATGCTATATCCATAAGGATTCAAACATGGTTATTGCTGAGTACAAATTAGTAATTAGTATTTGAAAATAATATTTGCTTACCTTTCTCACACGTTTTTCCCATAAAACCTGGAGGACAGATGCATTCCCCAGTATCTTCATGACAAATGCCATTGTTCATGCAGGAAGGGCAGTGGGAGCTACAGGAAGGGCCCCACTTCTGAGCTTCACATCCTTTCGTGAAAAAATATAATGACACATTTGTTGTCTTCTTATTCAGTAACCAGTAAAATAGTAGTGACTGTATGATCCGCATGCCACCCTTCCAAATTATGGCTGTCTACCCTCATGTGAAACATTCACTTTTTTCACTGTGGAAGTGCCTGTATTTCTGGAGCAGATCTGTTGTGTAGTACAAAGTAATATCACATAACATTTTCATAGAACAAACTGAGGGAGGCTTAGTTTTCAAAATTAGATTTTGATCCAGGAAATAAGTATGGAAGTTAGCAAATTCGTTACATGTAGTATTTCTGTTCTAGCACGGATCTGAGACCTACAAAAGCACCAGTGTTCACAGAATCACAGAATCACAGAATCACAGAATTGTAGGGGTTGGAAGGGACCTCCAGAGATCATCGAGTCCAACCCCCTGCCAAAGCAGGTTCCCTACAGCAGGTCGCACAGGTAGGCATCCAGGCAGGTCTTGAACATCTCCAGAGAAGGAGACTCCACCACCTCCCTGGGCAGCCTGTTCCAGTGCTCCGTCACCTCACTGTAAAGAAGTTCTTGCGCACATTTGTGCGGAACTTCCTATGCTGCAGTTTCCAGCCGTTTCCCCTTGTCCTGTCTCCACTCACCAGTGAAAACAGTCTGGCCTCACCATTCTGCCCCCCACACAGATATTTATAGACCTGGATCAGGTCCCCTCTCAGTCTCCTTTTCTCAAGGCTGAACAGACCCAGTTCACTCAGCCTTTCCTCGTAGGAGAGATGCCCCAGGCCCGTTCACTCAGATTGGGTCATACCAACAGTAAGCCAGCGGGTGCCAGCTTGGCATCAGTCCCACTATACTACCATTTGGCAAGTCATGGTTTTATTCTGCACTAATAGACAAAGTTCACTGCTATATCTTTGCTGTCTTCAATCACCTGATGACCTCTTTCTTGTCAAATAAATCAGCTTATACGTTGGATTTTAATGCCTGTTACGATTTTCTTCCCCACATCATAATTTAAAAAAATACCAATACCATTAACGGCTACTTTAAACAAACTGGTGTAGTTTGTCAAATTACAATGAAGTATGCCAAAAATTGCTCTAGGATAATAAATGGAGTTTTAATTCAGTTTTCCACAAAGAACAGATACATTTGAAAAATTTATTTTTTGCTCATATCCAGATCTCATAGTCATGAGAGACTCTGTGCCACCCTTCTTTGTTCACTCTTACTTGAAATTTTAAATATTTGCTTTTTGAGAAAAGAGCTGTCTTTTCTGGCAATAAGATGAACTGAGCCTAAATCTGCAGATGTTTTTTTCTCTCTCAGCTGCTTAAATCAATACCAGCTTATCCCAAAAACTGCTGGGAAAAAATTTCTTCTGACATAATCTGATGGCAACCTATGCCAATAAATATTCTGGCCCGTATTTGGACACAGTCTGTTTCATATCACATTCATTACAACATAAATCATTAGCACACATTAATGGAACTTACGTCTTACAATAAGCCTCGTGTAAGCAGAAGTAAAGAGGTTTCCTCCTATGTATCTGGCAGAGTAAACACCCGCATCCTGCAGCTGAACTTGGGGATAGGAAACTTCCAGCTCACCTGGCACCTCATGTCTGGGCACCGAGTGGATGAAGGAACCTGGAGAAGGAGTGCAACAGGCAGAAGTCATTCATCCCATACAAGCAGAGCAAGGTTGAGCTGATTGCTGAGGAAGGACAGCTGGGATGAAGTAAGCAGCAAAATGTATTTGTTAGTTACTGACTTGCTGGCAGCTCTTTAGCTGTGCTAGTTCTTAGTAATTAGAGATGTACAAGCGAAGAGGAAGCTGGATCTTGAGAAGACGCAATAGGTGAATGACACAAACGTATCTGAGTTTAGCACTGCTTTACTAGAATGTAGCTAGGAGTTGTGGTTGGAAGATTTTGTTTTGTTCCTTAGCCCTTCCTGCAATGAGGCCCTTCTGCAAAGAGTCCGTTGTGACTGGGAGGAGTCAAACAGCAAGCCTGGATAAGTCCTCCGCCATCTCACCAGCTCAAAGATTGACCTCACAGACCGAAGAAGGAAGAGTATATTGCAGCTTTATCTTTTCTTCCCAGATTTATCATGTTTCTGCCTCTTCTGTGTTTTCTCACCATGGGAGCTTATCTATGTTATTATGCAGTTGGTCATACATGTTCGTGATACCATTTAGTCTTTGGACTACCTAGTAGTCATATTTCAGGCATATTTGAAACATGAAACCCTGCTGAGGATCACCATCAAAAAAGCAGAAAGACTTTTAGTCAGATAAGACCATGACAATACGTAACAGCTCTTCAAGAAAGCAGGGCCAAAGAAGAAGAGCAAAAAATGACAAGGATTTGTTCTGAAACTGTGTTTTGTTTGCTTACATGTCTTTTGAGTTACAATCTGTGAAAAATGACAACAGCAAAGTACTATGAAAGCCTTATGCTAATATTGTGTTAGAAAGGTTTGGCTTTTGTGACTCATTTTCCATGGCAGCATGTTATGCCAATGTCTTATAGAAATTCTGTTCAGGAGAACAGTTGCATTTGCTGGATGGCCTTGTGAGCATCTGCAAGGGGGAAGTGTTATTTTAAATGCCTGAAGTGAGAGACAGCAACAGTTAAATAAGTCAGGATAAGGTTTTTCTATTCACTGCCCAGTGCTGTATCAGGATGACATGTCTGCTGCAGTCTCAGGTGGAGAACCTGACCTACTGTCTGGAGTTAATTTGAGGCTTTTTGCTCAACTTTCAGTTAGAGCTCCAGAGAAGGCAGCAGTGGAATGTAAGCACTTCTGCTCCAACACATCAACTGGTTCTTATATGGGAAAATGCTGATAGAGGGTCACAGAATTTCCTTGGGGACACGGAAGGGACAAGTGATGGCAACCTTCCCCACTGTGCACTGTCACAGCTGAATCTCTAGTAAGAAACAGATCTTTAATAAACTCTGCTTTGTGTGTTGCCCTTTCTAAAGACACCTTTTGCACTTGCTTCCAAGCCTAGTGTGCACTTGAAAAGCAGTAGAAATGCAAAGAAAGATGTGATAAATAAGCATGCACAGAGGTACAGAAAAGAGATAAAAACTAAAATGAAACAGGCAAAAATAGGAGGAGATAGGAAAAGAAATGAAAAAGGAAAACTGAGAAATAAAGGAAAGGTGTAGAGAGGATTTTGCATTCTGGTGGGAGGGAAACGATTAGATCATTATCAATATTTAAGTATGGCAGATGGCTCCTTTAAGGGACATTGGATGCATGAGGAATTATGCCTGCTCCAGCTTCACAGTGAGGACATGAGCAGTAACTTTAAAGCAGTTAAGTGGCAGATGGCTAAGACAAGGACAGAATGAGGAGACAAGAGAAAGGTTAATTACCATTCTTGTAGATCACCGCATCTTCTTCTTTTGCTGCCATTCGTATGAAGGAAATATTCACGTGCTCTCCCTTGTTTGCTGTAACTGTTAAGGCCACTGGGTGGAATGAAGCTACGAACAAAATAGGACATAAGTTTGGGATAAATTGCAGCAGTTGTTACCTGGTGTCTGGGCTGAAAGCTGAGATTAATTTATGAGCGTGACGTATCTTTGATGTTTAAATGTCCTCATGGCACACACAAGCCATTTATCATCAGCCATCTATGCCATCCCTATGTTTGGCAAATACTGAGAACTCACCAATAACCTCAAACAGCAGAATGCTACTAGAAACTGAGACTTGGAATTATTTTTTTTTAAAGGATTTTGTCTGAGTAATTGAAAACACTTCCCAGCTAGGAGCTCCAACTGGTTGTGAAATGCTTTCCTAAATTTCTTTATCCCTTGAGACATTTTTAAAGCAGGCTGGATACCGAACTGGAAAATATCTTGTAGGAAGAAGCAGACATGCAGCCTGCATGCCTCATTTCTCCTCTGGTTCAGCTTTCTAATGGAGAACAGTTGAGACAGATCAGATTACAGTCACGTAGGGGCTGGGGGAGATAGCATGGCATGTGCTGGTCATTCATTCACCACATCGTCTGTAAGTACTGGGAGTGCTAGCTTGCACCAAGAACAAAAGAATAAACTGTATTTAATAAACTGTATTTTGGGAATAGCAACTCATTGTTGCTTATCCCAAAACAGCCCCATCTGAAAAAGTGGAGGCACTTTCTACATGTCGGTTAATGGTATGTTTCAGTTTTCCCTTGGACTTTTCCACTGGATTTGTACTCAGCTTTAATTGTCCTATCACTATCCAACTTTGTAAACAGCCGTTCCCTCTCCTCGTTATATGCTTTCAAGTAGCTCTGATGAATCTGCAAGTGTTTTTCAACTGATTTCAGCCAGACTCCTCCTGCATGGTACAGCAGGAAAATATGAAGGATCTGACATGTTATTAGGTAACACAGCAGATATGGCACTGGTATCTCAAGTTACATCTCAGAGAATTCCAGTATAGAGTAATGTAGTCATTTCTCTTTAAAAACAAGAAAATGAAAACTGAGAGCAGTTCCAATTTACAGTCAGCTTCTGAGCTGGACATTATTTGTGAATAAAACAAATGCATGTTGAACCTTGTGATCTAGTCAGGAAAAATCAACAGCTTTCCCAAAGACAAATGGTTAGATACAAATGATCCTAAGAGAGGTATTACTTATTGGTTTAGCAAGACATTAAACCTTTGTATTCCCATTTTCTTTTCTTTGTATGGTGTTTAGCTTAGCCCCAAGACTTTTTCTTCACAGTATTGTTGCAATGGAAAGGAACCCGTGCTCTCTGGTAGACTCTATTCCAAACTATTTTTAGACTATGGCTTGTGTTTTGTGATTTCACATCTGGAGTGTGCCAATTCCTTATAGAGACATCATGAACTGAGTTGCAGGGAAAGTGCCATAATATTCTTTCGATAGTGTTTCCATAATTGTCTGTATGCCTGCTCTGGAGAGTTTCTGGGAGGGAAACTAAATCATATATAAGAAAATACACATCATTTTGTAGAGAAATCGAACAAATTTCAATAGACGCAAGACAAGGGTTCTATTCTAAATATGAATACTATATCCAGTATAATAATCACATATAAAAAGCATAGTCTGTTCCTTCTTACTGCATGAGTCAATGTTACGTGTGTAACCGTAATGCTGATATAGAAAGAAATGCAGGAGAATAGATGCCTTACTTTCAGAATGGCACATGTATAGAAGAATAAAATGGGAAAATGAGCCAGTTACCTTTCCTGTTACATGGCAAAAGTGCTCAGTGTATCTACGTATCTGACAGCAGGTACGTAACAGAGCAGAAGACAGTGGGGCCACCAAACATTAATACTTAGTGAGTGTTTCAGTAGCTTCTTGGCTTGAGGCTGTAAAACAGTGGCTGGATTTTCAAAACTGCTGCTCTTTCCTGTGTCTTTTGTATGGGAAACTGCTCATTTCAACTCTTGCTGAATTTTTATTGTTGGATAACACTCTCTGCCTTTAGAAAATATTCAGGCAGCAACAGTAAAGGGCAGTAAGTCCTGTTTTCCAACTACAGATGCTTTGCCAAACAGCACAGTCCTTCACTGACCTCTTCTTCCTCTTTCTGTGGACTCAATAGCTTTGAGAATTTCTGTTGTAACTCTTTCTCACCAGTCTACACTGTTTAGATTACACACATTCACTGATGAGTTCTTAGCTCAAACATTTGTCACTCAGAACTTTCACAAAGAAAATTCAAGAAATAGATTCAAACATAGGAAAGATTCGTAGAAACCTACTTAATGCTCATGTGAATGCTGTGTTATTTCTGGTTGGAACAACTTCTCCCACACAGGGAGCTCTCAAAGTTTGATTACTTTAAATTCTCTATGCCTAGGTGCAAAGATGCTAATTGCAACACACTGATGGATTCAGAGGACCCTCATCCTGCCATGGAGGTTGCTGCACATGGCAGCTTTAGCTCACTGGTGTTCAGCCAGAGGCATGGTCAAGTTGAAGGAGCCTCCTTCAGAGCCTTCCATGGACTGTTATCATACATCCTCCTCCCCACTGCTGCCTCCTTTGAAATAACAGTTGTTTGCCCTGCAAAGGAGGTGGACATGCAGACCTTTCTTGGTGGCTATCCTGAGTCTTCAAAGAGCACATCTGGTCAGAGATGACAGGAGCCCAATAAATAGGCACTTGTCCCACTCACTTTTCTTGGAACATTTCCATACTAAACAAAACAAATGGGCACTAGTTGTAGCTCATGCAAAAGAAGAACTTTTTTCTAGGTTAGCTGTGTAATTATGAGGGATACCAATAAAGGTATTTCTTCTTAGAAAAACATACAAAAACAAAAGTGTGAAAGTGCCTGCACAGCCTAGCGGCCATGGTGTAAAATGTTACAGCAAAGCAGTAAATTGTGACAAACTGCTGAAATTTCGAAAACATGATTTGCTGCAGAAAACTGGACAAAATTGTCTAAATGTATAGTGGACTTTTGTGAATGATTTTCTTAGATTCAGAAGAAATTCTCTGGGTTTCTTTCCACTGTTGTGATGTTTTTCTTTTCTATACTGACAGAGAATACGCAAATCAAAATTGGCTGACATGGCTTCCCTGGACCATAGGCAGTTATTTTACAGGCTCAGGTTGCCTTTTAAAAAACAAGGATAGCAATGTTTGCCTGTATAGATCTAGACCTGTGAAGGAGTCTCACAGTGAAGGAGTTTCCATTTGTAATGTTTTATGGCATCATTGAGGCCACTGCCACCTAATTTTATTCCTAGCAGCAGCCAAATACAGGTAGAGTACCAGTAGACATCTGATCGGCTTCCATCAGGAAATGACTAGCAGCTAGTATCAAGCAGTTGACCCTACACTTAAAAAAAAACACGGAATTGAGCCCAGTCTATTTTAGCTGACTCCAGGCTGCCTTGCCTGCTGTGGAGCCAACTTTTGTGACCACATCCGTGAAATAGGGATGACTGCTAGCATGCATGCAATGACATGCAGAATTCAGTTTTGATCCTCACACAGTACCTCCCCGTGGCATCTTCATGGTGTGTATCCTTGTCACCTCATCCTTCAGCTTCCCTTCACAGTAGTATGCTCCAATGGTCTCGCTGGCCTTTTCCCTTTTCCACATCACCATCTTGGCTGTGGCTCTCTTTGAATCTTCACTGACCTCCAGAGGCTCTCGATGCTGGTTTGTCACATCCTCCTGGTCTCGGTCAATTGTGATAGACTCACGGGAGCGCCACTTCGAAGTGATACAGATAAGTGATGTCTCTGAGTTGCCCACCAGAGGGAATGAATTGATAAGGATGAGGTCCAGTGCTGCTTCCACTTTACCTGGGGAAAAAACAGCAAGTGGAAAAAATTTACAGCAGATTTTGAGTATGTGGCTTGTCAGATCACCAAAGAAGCTATTTCACCCTATCTTCAGGCTTTCTTTCTCGTTTGGTCTTATGCAGCTTTACAGCAAAATAAAAAGCGACAGATTAGGCACACAGTTCACTCTCAGCAACTTTGCTGATGTTGCCAAACTGGGTGGAATGGCTGACAAACCAGAGAACTGCTCTGCCATTGCACTGAGAGAGACCTCAACAGGCAAAGAACATCGTGAAGTTTAACGAAGACAAGTGCAGGGTCCTGCATTTAGAAGGAATAACCTCATACCAGTAGTATGGGGGCTGATCTACTGCAAAGCACCACTGCAGTGAGGAACCTGGGAGTCCTGGTGGACAGCAGGTTGACCATAAGCCAGCAGTCTGCCCTTGAGACCAAGAAAGCCAGTGGTATTTTGGAATGCAGTAAAGTAATTGTGACCAGCAGATCGAGGGAAGCAATCTTCTCCCTTTACTCTGCCCTGGTGAGGCAACATCTGGAGTGCTGTGTCCCATTGTGGGTTCTCCAGTACAAGAAATACATGGAGATCCTAGAGCAAGTCCAGCGGAGAGCTATAAAGATGATAAAGAGGCTGGAGATTCTCCAGAATAGAGAGCTGGGCCTGCTTAGCCTATGCTTATGAATATCTAAAGAGAAGGTGTCAAGTGTATGGGCCAGGTTCTTTTCAGTGGTGCCCGGTGACAGAACAAGGGGCAACAGGCACAAACTGGAACATAAGAAATTCCACAGACAGATGAAGAAGTTTACTCTGAGGGCGACAGAGCACTGAAACAGACTGCTCAGAGAGGCTTTGGTGTCTCCTTCTCTGGAGATACTCAAATCTGATTAGATGTGATCCTGGGCAATGTGCTCCCTGCTTGATGTAGGGGCACTGGACTAGATAATCCCAAGTGATCCCTTCCAACCTCAAGTATTCTGTGATTCTGTGGTTAATTGTTGTAGTAGGACTTTAAAACATATTTAATATGTGAAGAACAGATGGGCTTTGCTCTTCTTGGAGGAAGAAATAAACCTCCCAGACTTCATTACTTCTTTGAGCTGTTGCAGAAGCCCAAGGAAATCCTAGCACGTTGCTCTGTGGATACTTGGACAGCAGTGCCTTGAGTGTGGTTCTTTGCCATTAAGAGTTGCCTGACATTTTGATAATTTCTTTTATGTCCTTGACATGTATTTAATATGTGTGAATTGACATGAGGTGGATATGTCTTTAGATTTAGTAGTTAGCAGTATTTTGAGCACTTGGAATATTTTTTCAGTTATTTTATGTGTTAGGGTTAGTGATTCCATAGCTGTTCACATGGTAACCTGTCAATGGACTTACAGTAAGCAGCAGGAACCATGGCACTCAAAGAACAAGTCTGTGGCAGAAACGGACCAATTATTTTAGAGTATCTTATTAATCAACAGGAATACAAGCAGATTTTATAAACAGAACCACTAGAAATAGATGAAGCTGGAAGTTCTTTCACAACAGTCGTCATGATCTGAATCTCTCACAGGGTGCTACAGATTTAATTTTCAAATGTGTGTGGTAGCAGGGAAACACAGGTCTCCTATAGTCAACTCTGCAAATAATAAGCATTTCGGTTCATTTTTTAAATCTGCGGTAAGGAGAAGGGAAAATAACATTTTTTTCTTCTAGCTGAAGCAGGAAGAATAATTGATTATTTTATTCATCACTTCTATATAATTTTCCTGCTTTGGATGCAAGCATCCTTTGTACTTTTCAGACAGACCCAATATTTAGAGCCGTTCTGCTTCCAAAGTTTTCTTCACTGAAAGAAGTGAGTGCAGCCTGAGATACAGGGGGCCAGAAGGTCTGTGTGCTTGCTGCAGGCTGCATGCACCCTGCTGGTGCACAAGGCCAGGGAGAGTGCCTGTCCCTGCTCCCCATGCTGGGGATGGAGGAGTCATTAGTGACTTCACTACATCCAGCCCAGTGCTGTGCCAGCCCAGGTACTTCTTGATCACACCATGGAGAAACAAAACCTTGTGGAGAGGATGCAGCAGGCCTTAAAGTAAGTACTGCATAAAGGTGGAGATCGGTAAAATCAGTTCATCTTACTGTGCAAGTACATCCTCCCCATGTACTCTGTCCTGTTTATAAAGGCCACGTTTAGAATACTGTATACAGCTCTGGGCTCCCTACTTCAAAAAAGACAGAGATTTCCTCAGAGAAGTCCAGCAAAGAGTCACAAAGATGATGAAGGGCTTGGAGCATCTCCTGTATAAAGAAAGACAGAGAAACCTAGGTCTGTCTGTTCAACCTGGAGAAAGGAAGACTGAGTGGGGAGTTGATAAATGTTTATAGATATCTAAAGAGAGGTGGGAAGCAAACCAATGAGGCCTAGCTCTTCTTGGTGGTGCATAGTGATAGGACAAGGAGCAATGGCCTAAAAGTTGAATTGCATGTACTGTAACTGCATGTTACATGAGAAAGTCCAGATTGAAAGGTGAAAATAGTAACTCTTCTTTCTCTGCATCTCAGTCTCTCCATCTGCTGAGAAAAAGTGGCAGGAGAAGTCTGAGTTTTGAGGCCTAGTTTTTGTGTTACCTTATGTCCCTATATATGATATAGCAAAGAAATATCATATTAGATTCAGGGTATTTGCTGCATAATGTTTTTTTTCTCTGCAGTGATATAAATTGTGTAAATCAAGGTATAGAACAAGCATGTCACAGGCCTATTGCTCATCTACACCTGTGACTATTCCAGAGGAATATGAACCCAGCCACCAGCGGATAGTCTTTTGATGAACTGTCTAAGCAGAGGTGTCTCGACATATCACACACTGCAGAGCAACTCAAATGCAAGACTCTGACAGAACAAGGCAGATGTTCTGGAGTTTTCTCCACAAGACCTTTCTGTGGCTAAAAGGGTATAAGCATAAGCACTGACTGATTCAGTTTCACAGCTGAGGTATGTTGCAAGCAGAAATTGAAATACATCCTGGTGAGTTCTGCACTAAGAAAAAGTTAGGCTTTAATGTATCTCAAAAACCAGCTCTCTAGCAGCAAGTCTAACTGAGGGTGTTTCACTTGTGAACTCAAGGACCTGGCAGGACTGGCCCTCTGAAGACAGCTACAGGCCTCAGAGGTGACAGGAAGGCTTTCTTTGTCTCCACTGGGAGTTAGTGATTACGGAAAAACAAAACAGCCAATCAGAAAAGTGTAAAATCTGCATGTGCTTTATGCTTTGTGCTTCCTACAGCATATCTTCTTGGCAATGCATCTTGGGCTAACACAGCTGCCCTTGCTGAGTGAGAATGGATTTTCATTACCTGGTGGCAAAAACGGCAGGTCCCACCCTTGGTATTAATGAAGACTTTGAACATGCAAGGACCAATTAAGGACAACAGGATTTGACTCTTTGAGAAAAGTACAACAAATAGAGACAGGAAACAGCCTGTCCCTGTGTCAGTGACAATACTCTCTGTTTCCTTGGAAAAGTCTTTTGACTCCTGCCACAGTCCTTGGGGGACTGACCTTATCAGGAAGGCAATTTGCTGTGTGTGCAATTAGATTTGCAGAAGAGAGAAGAAGGCTGATGTAGAAACTGGGAGAGGATTTGCTGCCTGATATTTCTGACACAGGCTCATTGCTGCACAGGGCTTTGTGTCCTCCTGGCATGGAGAAAATGGCACGATCTAAACAGCATCCTCTAAAGCAGTAAGTTTAACTCATAGTGTGTCCACTGAAATCTGTACAGCGAAACACTTGGAGGTAGACCTTTTGTCCCACCCTGAACTACAGGACTGTGCTCTCTCTTGTGTTAAACATTATTTGGCAGTGCTGAGCTGACCAAAGGCCATTCATTCTGCCAGTCACCATGTTTTCAGTGCTGTGTTGCACCAGTAAAACTCAATTCATAAGGGCAGAAGAAACACTTCTGAGAAATTCCCTGGAACACATCCCATGCTCAAAGAACAAGACGGTCTGTAAAAGTTTGAATTATGGCTTTCTCAAATCAGAATTGGTGCTGGAAAAATGATCTGGAAACAGCATTGGGCAATCTCTAGGTGAGACAGCTTATTGATGTAGATTAATGCAGACAGCAAGAACCATGAGAATGGAAAAGTGTTAGGTTTTGTCCTTGCATCTCAGAAAGTCGCTGCCTAAATATCTTGTGATCTATACTTAGCACTTGTCTGGTCCCCAAGAAATCATGGAAAGATTCAAGACAAATGCTGTCTAACATGATGCCTTTACAAATTTCCCTCTTAACTGGGAAATGGTTTAATCCCATGATGTAGCTCATAATCCTCCACCACAGCAAGAGTAGTCAGCTCCATCATGGCAAAGGATAGTAATAAACCACTGCCCCCAAACAAGTATTTATTAACCAGCCCATATTTCCAGAGTTCATTAAGAATGTAGAGTTCTGAGTGGTTGTTTTAGCTGTTAATTAATGCTGAGTAGTAGTGGAAACAAGAAGTGGTTTAGCTATTACAGTATTTCATTTCCTTACATTTAGAGAGCTTTACTGTTAATTGCTTGATGTGACTATAGGATGGAAGTCCTTCCCTTTGCATCTGGAGTATAACAAAGGAAAAAGAAGAGCTGTGGTAGGAAATGAGTGGAGACATTAATTCTTTCAGAGTATTACTTAAATAAAAGGGGAAGAGAGGGCAGAAAGGAGGAAAGTTTTATTCAGTAAATTTCATCCTTTTCTTCATCAGATTTAGTGAGAAGAAAGAAATATGATATAATTTGAACTGCCTGCTAGGAGCTACCTGAGAATGTGAGTATAACCCATACAGTGCTGTGCTGCAATCTGTGCTTGGGGGTTTGTGTTACACTGAGAGCAAAACAGTTTCTTACTTTCATTATAATACTAACCACAGAACTTAATTTTTTTTGAGATTGGAATGTGAAATTTCTGTGGAAAGTATATCAGACTGTCAAGTCACCAGCACTCCTCTCTTTCATGTCTCCTAAAAAAA